TTTGGTTTTATAGTAGTCACTTAAAATTGATTTTCTAAATTTTCTCTATGTTGAAAGAAATTTCTGCACCATTGTTTTCATGGTAATGTAACGTTAAACCATCTTACAGCTAACATTTTAAATGTATTAACAGCCACGTATGAGTGAGAACATGGCTTAAACTAACGTTACAGACTGTTGTTACAATCTGTGACTTTCTGCACAGTCTGTATTATTCATTTTTGCACCGCACTCGTTACCCCACTGCGGTAATCTTACAACATATTACTCCAGTGATGTATTTAAATCCTGCCATAACCATTTTAAGTTTTAAGTCAAGTACTTAAATAAATATACTGATTCTCCAGTTCAGGAAAGGGTTGACGTACAATGTTTAAATTTATCTGTCACAGCAGTCCTCTTGAATTTGAGGTCTGCTATTTTTCTGGTCTGACAAATAGGGTCTGTTGTTATTATTATTAATATCAGCACTAACTATGAAAATAGACTAATTTTGAAATATGCTTATTGTAATGCACTTTATGTGTCTCATTTTCAGGATGATTAAATAAAATGTTGAAATATTAATGAGAAAGTTTTTCATATTTATTTTGCAGTCGAATAAAATAATTATCTTTAGAATTATCATAAATAAATAAGAGTAATTGGTGTGAAAAAGGATCATTAGGTGCAGCCATAAGATGTATATAAGGGAAAAACAACAGTCTTGTTGGATTAGAATAAAACTGTGACCTGACACATTGGTCTCTGAAAGTGTAGCTGCACTGTTGTGCCAGTAGAGGGCGCACAAATCCCAGGCATTTTTTTACTTCTCAGTCATGTTGACCACATTTCTGTGCTGTCATCACTATTGACTTATTTCAACTTTTTTTCCAGGAATCATGTGGTGGACCTGAGTGTAGCAGTAAGCACAGCCAGCGGCCTCATCACGCCCATAGTGTTTAACGCCCACACCAAAGGACTGGTTGCCATCAGCTCAGATGTGTCTGCTCTTGCAGCTAAAGCGAGGGAAGGCAAACTGCAGCCACATGAGTTCCAGGTACAACACATTATCTGACTCTGTGGGAACATGTGGGTTTGTTTAGTTTTATGCAGGTTTCATCTATCTAGTGAACCAGAAAATTAAAATAGCCCTCTTTAATGTGTGTGTATTTATTTTTTCCCCAGGGAGGTACATTCACAATCTCTAATTTGGGGATGTTTGGTATCAAGAACTTCTCAGCGATAATCAACCCTCCCCAGTCCTGCATCCTCGCCGTCGGGGGCTCAGAGAAACGGCTGATGCCTGCTGATAATGAGAAAGGGTCGGTGTCATGACTACAGCCCTATAACATGTTATACATACTTCATTTCAATAAAAATCAAAGCTGATGCAGCGCGTGTTTTGGGGGTTTTTGCAGGTTCGACGTAGCTAGCATGATGTCGGTGACGTTGAGCTGCGACCACCGGGTGGTGGACGGGGCGGTCGGCGCACAGTGGCTCGCTGAGTTCCGCAAGTTTCTGGAGAAACCCGTCACCATGCTGTTGTAATTGGACTGTACTGCCGTTAAACTGCAGCAACAGGCCTCTCACTGAAGACATCTGATCGCTCTAAACCGGTCTGGATCCTCCTGTGATTGGCCGGCCTGCCACCAGGTCACTCCCAGTTACCCTGAAGGGAGGCAGAACTCACTCCGCTTACCTGTCTGTCTCTCCTGTCTGTCTCTTTCTTCTCTTGCTCTCTCTCTCATGTTCTATTTATTGAGGCCCCATCTCGACCAGAATTAGGTATAATTTAACCTAGAATAAATACTGGCCAAGTGTCGCTACAACACTGATGTTTTCCAAAGGGAAGTGTTACATGTCCAACCAGTGAGAATATTTATCCCAAAACGTATGCGTGTGTCTTTTTTTACACACTTTCATCTTTGATTTTGTGTGAATGTGATAAAGACAAAGGGAAGTACAGCAAATGTGGGTCTTTTGGAAAAAACGTTTTTCACAGAGTTCAGATGTACACTCACATAAACCTGTCCCTGTTCCCTGGTGTACACACACACACACACACACACACACACACAGTATTTAGTGTGTTTTCTGTGTGTTGATGCTACAGTGTGTGTATATATATATATATATATATTCACTGTGGGATAAACAGTGCTGTGTGTGTGTGTGTATGAATGATTGTGAGCTCTGATAAGGCCCCACCATATGATGAAATATCTGTACAGACCTGAATGATACTGTAACCCACTATCATCTTAAAAGAAGTACAGAACAGTTTTGCCAATTCTCTCTCTTCAGTGGGGATGTTTTATTTTCTAGTCTAGAACGCACAAAGCTGGAGCTGGAAGTTATTTGTTGTTTGAATAAATTGGAAGAGGTCAACCTTGTGCCATAGTTTCTTTGGTTTGGGGTTTTATGATTAGGCTTATTGTAAGAGCCCAAATTAAACAGGAATAGAAAACGGTACTTTGTGATCACAAAACATCTAAACAATTTTGGATATTTGTGAAAAATATATATATATATATAGAGAGAGAGAGAGATATAGATATATATATCTCTATATCTATGTCTATCTATATAGATAAATATAGATAGATAGATAGATATGTATATATAGTTTTTTTTTTTTGTAAGGAATCACGAGTCAAGGACACTCTTGACCTGCTTCACTCTGTTGTATTAGTGTTGCATACCAAATGGATAAAGTAAAGAACTCAGGCTGCAGTCATCCTCCCTGTCTGTATGTTTTCCCATATACGTATCTGGGTCAGTGATCACTGCGGATTCGTGCAGTCCCCCCACGCACAATAAAAACTCCTGAGAACAGGCTCCGACTGCCTCCTTATTCACCATTTTCTTGTTTGGAATTTGATCTGCCAAACTGCCACATGCAAGTGCTGCCTTAATGTTTTTAAACCTTTTTTGTGTTAAATATCAGAAACATAGAAAATCACCATAGTATTTAAATGAAAGACGGAAAAGATAAAGATGGCTGGAGTCCAAACAAACTGCAGGTGGAGAAGCAAACCAGCTTTTATCAGTAACAGGAAGATACTGACCTCATTGAGGTGATCATAATAAAAGGTCAAATTTGAAAACTTGAAAAGGTCACATATTGCTTTGCTGCTCTCACCTCAAAAACCTTTAGTTTTTTTGGCAGGTCCAGTCTGACTCAAATCTTTAGCTACTGGATTTTTGTTTCATTTGGATTTTTTAAGAGAATCTCAAGAAACTACCAGAATCATTAAAATGCTCATGTGTAAAACAATTTCCTTGTGTTCCTATATGGGATTCATTAAATCTTACATGTGTGTTGACTGGTGAAGAGCACTGAACTGGAACATATTTGGTTGATCACTGGAGAACTTGGCAGGCAGATGGACTTCTGCGAGTCACACACTTTATGTAAATCCATCAAAAAAGAGGCAATGACAGCATTTTTGTTTAGCCCATAGGTCATAAGTGGATGATGTTCTTATCACCAGACGACTCGCTGCAAATGTCAGACTCTGATCTTTGAACATTTCTTCACACCAGTGACAGCCTTAGATCTTTGACTGCCCTGAATCCATGAATCACTGTACTGATAAGTGGAAAACCACCAATTTTTTTTTCCCAAGAAAGAAAGCTCTTCTTGGACTCCACCAGGATGGACAGGCTTTAGGAGGAATTTTTATTTTTTCAGATTTTTACATCTGTACATGATGTCAATTATTACTCAAATTATGTGTAGTTAGTAGTACTAACTCAGAAAGGCAGAGTGGTGTTAGCAGCTGATTTTAGCTCATCACTTCCTCAGATGTGTCTTATTTTAGCATCCCTTGGAGTACAAATAATAAGTTAGCTGTTAGTTCACACTGTTGAAAAATAACAAGTGGAAGCTCTTTTTGTTCAGTGACACAAGCTACAAACGGAAGAGAAATGAGAAATGGGAGATGACAGGGCTTGTTATCCACAAAACTGTAACAGACCTCAAACCTCAAGTAGTTGAGATGAAAAGTTGTGCCGCAAATCTCAATTCATTATCATCACTCATCATATAATTTGTTAGCGATCAATCTGTCAATGTTTTTGTATCAATTGATTAGGTGTTTAGTTAAATGCCTAAAAATAGAAAAATGTCTGTCACAATTTCCTAATGTCTAAGTTTGGGTGTTTTCTTTAACCAACACTGCCACAACAAAATATATTCCATTTATAGCGATATAAAACCATCAAATCCTTATTTTTGAGAGGTCGGAATCAAAAAATGCTTTGCTTGATTATCATTCAGTTAAAGATTGGTCCATTAATTAGGCTATTCCAGCAATTCTGAAAAATAACTTTCATCCCGAAAGCGAGACACGTTTTTGAAAAATAAAGGAAATAACATAGTCCTCCTTTTTGAAAAAGAAAAGTCCAACTGCTGGAAGAAGTACTTAAATCCTTTACTTAAGTAAAAGTACAGAAGTAGTATCAACAAAATGCACTTAAAGTATCAAAAGTAAAAATATTCTTTCCACAGAAAAAAAGGCCCTCATGTAATATGATGTACTGGATGCCATTAGATTGTTTATAATAATGCAGCAGTATGTATGTTGCATTTTACTGCTGTAGCTCATATAAATACACCTGTCCTCTGCAGGCCTCAAACAGTTATACTACTCATAGACATCTGACACATGAAAAAGGGCCCCAACTAGACACTGCTTTTTTAGTAAGGGGCCACACGCCCAAAAGGTTTGGAAACACTGGTTTAATCTTTAACAATGTTATAAACTGATTTTGTAAAAATAATCTGCAAAGTAACCAGTAACTACAGCGGTCAGATAAATGTAGTGGAGTATAAAGTACAATATTACCCTCTGAAGTGTGATGGAGTAAAAGTATTGTGTAGCATCAAAAAATACAAAGTACCTCGAAACTGTACTTAAGCACAGTACTCCATCTACTGACATCATTGTCATCCTCTCACTGCCACTTGTGGCCACAGTGGCCGCTGTGAAGCAAAAGTTAAAAGTTTTAAATTAGAAATTAAAAGTGTGTTTCTCCTATCAATAACGTTATCGCATCTCAGCGGCATGAAAGTGTTTTTCAGCTGATTATCTGGAGAGAAAATCCGCAGAACGGCTTCCTTCATCCATGGCAACATAAGCTAGCTGCTTTGCACCACATGCTATATGTTACCCTGCAGCATCATGGGATGTTGTCTTGTGCCTAATAGGTAATGTTTTATATGGAGGAGCTGCAGTTTTTTTTACATTATACTGACTAATTAGACTACAAGCTGACCCGTATACCCATACACTTTCCATACTGGAGAAAATTAAATTACATACTTAAATAGCTAGTGGGTTTGGACAATTAATAGGACTTCATAAAAAAATCTTCCTGCAGTCACTTTAGTTGAACAAACAGATGATGAGAGGTGAAAATTAAAGTGACTGAGAGTGAAAATAAAGGAGGGTGGGGTTGGTTGTATCACTCAATAGATTAATCATGCATGCCTGATTATTTGGCCACCAGCTTGTATACAGGGGGAAGAGAGGGCTGCCTCTCTGTGTTTCCTCTCAGCTATGGGTTCTTCTGGGAGACGGATGCTCTTGACCCTGTGTGTGTGTCTCACCGCTCTGGAGAATGGTGAGTGGGCCCGTCTACTGTCTTTAAGCTTTGACACAAATTTGGTAAGACAGGATGAGAAATATTGGTCACTTTGAACACACTGCTATTAGCTCCAAGTGTTTTAAAGGGATCTTCTTTTCTATACCTCTTTACAGGGATTTTGGTGGTTGGAAAATTAATCGTGTGTTTGTTATTTTTGTTTTTCTGTTGTAAATATTATAGGTTTAACAGACCCTAATAATCTAGTGTAGACTTGAGGGTGGCGTGTAGTTCCACAGTACTGAGAATGTAGCGTTAAAAATGGACTAACTAAGTTTGTACCTGAGTTTGAACCCTTGAATATTCTGAAAGATATGTTTGACTGTGAGGTTTCACAAAACATATTAAAAGTGTTTGTTGTAAATTATAATTTTAAAACTTTGTCAAAAACAATTTCCAACTAGAAATGAAAGATTGTGCACACAAAGGGTTTCAATTGTATAAGAAAAGCAACACTTTTTTAACAAAGCCTATGTTTGTCATATTGAGTGTCTTAATTTGAAAGACTCTACAAAGAGAGACATTTTAGAAACTGGTGAGCTACACATGGAGACAATGTCGTGAACTATTTTTTCATGAACACATCCCAGTGAAGTGGGCTGTTGTTCCACTCAGTTCAGTTTGGCTCACCCTCAAAGCTGTCAAGTGTAATTAACAACTAATATGCACGCTGAATCCCCCCCCCCCCCCCCTCCCACACACAAAAGGCCTGGGGATGAGGAGAGTGTGTGTGTGGGAGGGGGTGTCATTATTTCAGTAATGAAGCAGGAGAGGGAGGAGAGCGGTAGTCTGCATGTGAACAGGAAAACAAGGGAGGTTAAAAGCAACAATAAAACATGAAGGAAATTAAGAAATACCTCCTCCAAACTGAAAGGCCTCTTGTATCATGTGTCTCATTTTTGTTTATCCCAACCTGCCTTGTTTTCCGACACAGCTGCACTCCGGGTAACCATGAGGGAATCCAACCTCAACGTGGTTCAAGGGGATTTTGTCATCCTGCCCTGCTCCTTCTTCACCTCCAGCCCCCTCTCCAGACTCAACGTCATCTGGACTCTGGCTCCCTTCTCAAGTCCAGAAATCCCAATACAGGTCTGAATCCCAACACAAACACACACAGACGCCCCTAAGAAGGTCTCTCAACAACAAGCTGCAGGCAAAGTGATCAGATATATCAGAGTATATCAGGTATTTCATTTGAACTTCTATGGGTGTTTGAGCTGAAAGTCTGAATCTGCTGCAATGTGAATAATGAGAAAGTTTATTTATACACACACACACACACACACAGAGTTAAGAATCCCTTCAATAAAACACAAGTCTGTCCGTATTTTTATGGTCTGAAACAACTTATTAATGGATGATGTCATTTCCAGGTGATTGTGTATGACCATGGACAGGTGATTGAAGACCCAGCTCTCATTGGCAGGGTGGGTTTTACAGGTATGACCAGTGAAACCCTTTTTATCTGAATTGTGGTGTTTTTTTATTTGCTTCTCAATGACAGTTCTTTAAAATGATATTTAATACTTTACCTTTTTAGCTATACAAATAAATCTGTTGTTTATTCAAAACGTCCTTAAGGATAAATATATAAGTGAAGACGGGACAAAAACATTATTTAATGTAAACCAACTGCAGGTATTCCATGGAGTGCAGACATCGTCCTGAATGACACACGTGTGTCAGATGCTGGTATTTACCGCTGCATGGTTAATAACCCACCAGAGACGGCAGATCCTGGCATTGGAGAACTGGAGCTCAGTGTCCTGGGTAAGCGTATCACACATTGTCCAGTTCTACTAGAGTAAACAAGTTCAATGGCACGTACATGCTTGAAGAAATCATCATTTAATATGCTGTGAGTTAGGGATGCAGCTATGTATTTTTCCAGTCTGATACTGATATTTGGTGTAATCCCAACCATATTTGCCATTACTGGTGTGCATTTTTTGTAGGACAAATAGAGGGGCCAAACAAGTTGGTTTTAGCCATGCTAGCAGCGTAGCTCTAATCACGATAATGTTGGTCCAGACGGAAAAATCTCAACAACTATTTGATGGATTGAAATTCTGTACAGACATTCGTGGTGCCACGATGAGTTTGATATTTGTGGTTCTGAGCGAACTGCCTCAACAACAGTTTTCTCTGTAAAATTTGGTACACGCGTTCATGTTCCTCTCAAGATAAATTGTAAATACTTTGGTTATCCCTTAACCTTTTCTCTACTGCAAATGATTTTTATTTTAGCAATGCTTGAATACTCAAAAACACTAATGACATTTCCATCAACCTCAACCTCTCAACTTGTTATGTTGTGTTTACATTTGTAATGAGCTAACTGAAATGCCAGTTCCAAGTCTGATGTGCAGTGGAACATTTAACAAGACATTTCCTGAAGAAATACGCAAAACAAGCTGTCTCGACACACAATTAAATGCTTACATCTATTTCTAAGAGTTCCACTGCACTCCATCCTTTTAAAAATTAATCAGATTTTTTTTTTGCAGCACCACCCTCGCTGCCTGTGTGCCAGTGGGATGGAGATATTGATATGGGAGGAAGTGTCACGCTGTCTTGCTCAGTAGCGGAGGGTGTCCCCACTCCGGAGATCCGTTGGGATAAACTGAATCCAGAGGAAATTGCACTTCCCATCAACATGGAGGGTCAGTGTCACGCGCGCACACACACACACACAAAGTTGTGTTTTCATCACTTCCAGGACATTAATTTCACTTACACTCTAAAATGTAATGATTTATGTTATGGGGACATTAGTAATACTGCCCACTCACTCACTCACACACAGGGCTCCTGTACATTAAATAACGTGTTTGTAATCAAACCAAACAATTCTTTGGCAGAATCATTATCATCAGTTATTATGTAAGACATATTGAATTCAATAGTGCAGGGGAAATTTTGTTGCATTGTATAGTCTTACTAAATTTTAGTGTGGTGAAGCTGATTTAGTGACAATCAAAACTGGAGCTACTTGAGGAAAAATTCATGGGCGATATTGGGAATGTAAGTATTTTAAAGTGTGTGTCCAGAAGACTGCAAAAGCGGTTCTTCATCACTCCCATAAAGTTGGGGGACTCATAAGAGACTCCATTTAAAAAGAAAAAACATTGTTATAATCGAAGCAGCAGAATCCGAGATACCCTGACTTTTAGTCTCTAGTATGGATTAAAGGTCCAGTGTGTAATATTTCTGAGGCTCTATTGACAGAAATGCAATACAAGTTCCATAACTATGTTTTCAGTGGTGTATAAAGACCTTACATAATAAACAGTTATGTTTGTATAAACCGTCTATGTATTATGTGGTTTGTGGTGCAGAAACAGTGACAGTGTTTCACACTCTTGGCTTACATTTTCCATGTTATCTGTCAGTGGCCAAGTCACAATAATATTATATATTATATTATAATAATTTCTTATATACCTAAAGAAACCTAATTTCTTGACTGGCTACTCTCTGCTGTCTCAGAAGAGACACCTTTTGTGCTGTGTCAGCCACCGTAGCTGTCCTACACTCTTTGAAAGGGTAGGGGGCAGTGGTAGACTGGACAGTTGGTTGCAATTTGCAACCTCACCGCTAGATGCCACTAAATCTTACACTCTGAACCCTTACATTACAAAAAAAAGCTGTAGGCTATCCTACACTTCCCATAATGCAACTGCACAGCATCTTTCATCTGACCCCTCATTCCTGCCTCTTAATTGCCCACATCTTTCAAACCCCACCTTACATTGTATTCAGTTAAATAAAAAAAGTTTTAGTCTCAAGCCCAAAGTCAAGCTAACCCTGATGACATCACTATGTCAGGCTGTTCCTTTGCAAAGCTTCTCCAGAGCCACAAAATACTTTAAACTACGGTTGTCACAGGTTGCGTAGGACTCCTCGTCAAGGGTAAAACCAAACTTCATGTGTAAAATCAGTTGAGTGCTCCTTTAAGCATTTGAAATAAATCATTATGCTCATACTTTGCCCCCCCCCCCCTCTCGCTCTCTCTCTCTCTCTCACACGCTCAGGGCATCTGTCAGGCTCCGTCCAAATTGTCAATGTGTCATCTCAGACATCTGGCCTGTATCGCTGCTCTGCCGCTAACCTCCTAGGAAAAGAGAACTGCTATGTCAACCTGTCCATCTACAGCGGTGAGCGCTTTGTCCACCCATAATCCTCTCTGCCACTTTTCACTACAGCCACCAGCATGATTTTAATGTTTTTGTCTTCCTCCGCAGCCCCAGACAGGTCCTCGGGCATACTGCAGGGTGTGCTGCTGACCTTGTCCATGAGTCTGGTGCTGCTGGCACTGCTGGCACTCGTGCTGTGGCTCCATCGCACGGGACAGGATGGGAGGTGGAGGGAGGGGAAAGAGGAGGAGGAGTGTTACAATGAGATCCGGTATACTCCGTCTCTGATGAAGCGCTCCTTTGTTTGATTTTTCAACATCCACAGGAAAAGAAAAAAAAAAAGAAAAGCTCCAACCCCGGTATCAAACAAAAGACTGGATTTTTATGTCTAGACAGCCTCCCTGTATACTACTGTATCTCTGTACAGCATCATACGTTTTGAAATAAATGCCCATGTTTTCAGTAGGTGTGGTATTTTATTTACAACAATCTAGTGTCAATCTTTTCCACATTAAACCTACATGATTAAAGGGCACCCAGGATCCCCTGACTTTAATGATCAGAAATGCACTTAAAGACAATCTTTCCCTCCATCGTTCCTTTCAGTATCCGGATACCAAATGTCAGTACTAAAGCCTTCACATTAAACCCTAAAACCTGATCCTCAACTTTGAATTCATCAAGTCTTACAACAAAAAACTAATCATCTTCACTAGTGTTGCTTTTACATATCAGATCTGTAATAAAATACCTATTCAGACAAGCTTACTCTGGATGTCAACGGTGTTCATCACAAGTAATGCAGCCCACTTGACACATACAGACCAGAGAGAAAAAGACGCCGCAGACCAGGAAGGCGCTTGAGGCTGGTAAGCTGAAGCATTAGGATGATGACCCAAAGAATCAGCCTGATGTGCAGCGGTGCATAATAAGAGCTCAGTGTCAAGACTGAAAAGAGGAGAGACATCACTCTGCCTTGGGAGAGGAAAAAACATTGACTGCTGCAGCGGCCAACAGGTACAGTTTGTTTCATCTGACCTCTACAGATATGAATAGTTACAGTTTATCTGTACATTTCTGCCATCACGGCATTGCTTTCCCCAGTACTACTAAGTTTGGATGTCTGCAAGCTTGTTAAATGCAATTCACAAGTTCACTATGACTCTGGCTTTTAACCAGCTTTTATCCCTCCTGTTTAGCAGATCCACAGCATAAAACTACTGAATAAGTATACAGCACTATTGCACTACTGTAGGGTGTTAAACATGATCATTTAAAGGTTTCAAAAGAAGTACAAATTAAGGCAAAGTCTCAAGATTCCTCGGACAAAAAACACCCACAACAGGACAAAGTAAAAGGAAAATAAAATCACTCACAGCAGTGTATTTGCAAACAAAGACACAAAAATCTTTAATTTAAATAGGAGGAAAAAAAAAAGAAGAAAAAAAAAAAGCAATCACATAAAAAAAAAAAAAAAACTGTACAGAACATTTAACATTGACTTAAAGTTCTTAAATAAAAGACCCCTCTCCCAAAATAACTAAAACAATAAAAACGATAAAGTGGGATGGTGTATGATACATTTTGTGCAAAAGAAGTATTAATTCATTCTTCCCAAACTGCACATTTCAATGTGAAGAGTGCCTCTCTCCACTCAGCTCACCCCTCTGATGGGTAAACACAAGAGTCCCTCCCCTCAACATAGTGTCTTAAATGTACAAGAACCCAAAATCCAATAATAATAAAATAGATTTATATTTTAAATATATATTTATATACGAAACATGCTGTACATAATTTCAGAGATTAAGAAATCCCTTTTTAAATTGACACCCAGGTCTGTCCGTGAGCTTGTGCTTTCCTCACTCCCAGCAAAGAAAAAACCCCAACAAAAAAAAAATACAATATTACTCCCTGTTGCTTTGGAAACAAGATGAATGAGGAGAAAAGAAAAACAGAAAACAGCACTGATCAGAAAGTCTCTGTTTTTCCTGAGTCGAGGGAGTTACTGACGTGTTTTGAGGGATACTGAAGCACTTTTCACCTGTGTTAGCTTCTTCACAGCTTAGACTGAAACAAATCTGAGCTGCTAAAGATTTTTTTTTTCATTCACAGGAAAAACAAAAAGATAAGCTTTGTATGGAGTGTGTCCCCCTTGTTCAGATGCTGTAAGGATCTGAAAGTAGGAAAAAAAAAACAAGCGCCAGAGTGATTCAACAGATGTGGTTTTAACAGCATGCACAAAATATTTTAACCCAGAGAAAGTAAAATGTTGTAAAAAAGGGGGCATTTGTAACATCAGTGTGACCCACTATTCCACCTGCCTCATAACCATGACCCTTCAGTTTTCTCCCTTTGGACAAAAAGTCATCCCAGAGGCCTCATTTCTTTCCCTTATATAGACCCTGAGAACACTGGCCTCCTTTCAAGTTTCCTACAGGGGAATGCAGCTTCTGAGAGATTATTTGGTGAGAAAACTATCTGTTAATGCGATAATTATTTCAGAATCGTTCAACCACAGCAGACAAATGGGAACATAGGGACAAAACTGCTGGACCTGGGGGAAACATTTGGGGCCGAATTTGCTCCGACTGCCAGCTTCTTTTTTTTGTGTTACAGGATCTACATTAACCCTCTATCGGTGTTTCATACTGGTGGAACACGAAGAGTGCAAGAGCGGGAAAGAAACCAACTTAAAGTGACTTCTCAGGAATACTTCCAGTTATGTTCACTTCAAAAAAAAGAAAGAAAAACAGCCATTGGTGAGATGATACAAATGTGATAACATCAAATAAGTTGAGGGAGGGGTGGGTACAGTTGACAGAAGGCAGATTTCCAATTTCATACATCAGCACACCATATTGACAAACCCTGTTAAAGATATCTGTAAGACAATAATAATCAAATAAATATTCCACCTTTGCTTTCAGTATGTATTCAACTTTGTTATTTTTCCAACTAAAACGCTGGATTTAACTGGTGTAGAAACAGCAGTAGTAGTGGGTATATTAGTAGTAGCAGGAGATGCAGGAGCAGTAGTATAGTAACAGGAGGGGCCAAACTGCAGGCAAAGAAAACAAGAGCTCCCCACACAAAGCAGCCTGGGTCCCTGCTATTGAGAAAGTCATGAGCTGAGTGGATCTGATCAGAGAGGGCGTCGTTGATCGGTCATCCAAAGAAAACAAACTCAGTGCAGCACAACACTGAGGAATTTGTGATTCTTCAAGTAAAGTAAAAACAAAAAAAGGACATTCCACTTACCCAAAAAAGGCTTTAAGTTTCTGACACTCCAGGTTTGCAGGTTTGTGATCAACACAATTTTCAGATTGGATTCACCCTCCGCTTGATGCTGATCTACGGGCACCAGATCTGTCCGAAGTCATCCCACATCTCTGTGTTGCTAGTCAGATTCAGGACTTGTGTCCAGGCCTAAATAGACTGTAAACTTGCGGTAAAAGCACCACATGTTGGCTGGGATAGAAGGGAGTTCCCCCCGCCCTCCCCCGAAACGTGCTCAAAAACAGAACTGTTGAGTGTTGATGTTGTCAGGCACCTCTGTAGAAAATAGGCCAGAGGACGAAGATGACAATTTTTGTGGGATGTGTTTTTTTCTTTTCTTGTTGAATATGTATAATGTTCAGGGAAGATGAAGAAGTGGAGGCTCCTGAAATTTGTCAATATTGTCTGACACTTAACGGTAGGTCCACTGAAGACTGTAAAATGGGGAAAAACAAAACAAGGCTTATAATGGTTTCCACATATCCTTCACCTGCACATACAGCAACATACTATAGGATCTTTTTTTAATTGGTTATGCAAAAACCAAAACAAAAAAACCCCCTGCTGCTACAGATGTCAAGTGAGACAAAGTCAGAGGCAATCCTCTATTATCCAGTATAGAAAAATAACCAATCCTCAAGCAAAACATCCCTTATAATTGCACTGGCCTTTCTGGCCTGTCACTACTGTTCCAACCAAAAGGTCGTCCATAGAGACACCGAGTGCCTTTGTCAGAAAGAAAAATACATCATCAGGCCTTATGACTAATGATGAAAACTGACTTTGGAATAAACCGGTTTGCGGAAATCATTTCATGATCTGACGTGAATCAGCTCAGCATGCTATCAGATGTTTAACTCTTTTGGCTGAGAAGGAGAGGGGTGGTGTGTGTATAACCAAATCTACCCGGTATTGCAGCGGGCCATTAGAGGATTCACAAATCATGGTTGCACTGAGTTAGACAAAGGAGGATTGATGGAATGAGTCCCGAAGGCTGGAATGAGTCTAGTCCGACCCGGCCCAGATCAGACCGCGGTGTGCTTTCACTGCAGAGAATGTCACTTGGGGTTTCTCCCAGTGCAGACTCAGCGCAGGTGCTCAAGTAAAGGCAGCTCTGTGGATTCCTCCCGGGGGGTGGGGGGGTCCCCTGCAGTCAGCAGGAGTGGATCCATCGTCTGAGTGGCTCCCAGAGGATCCAGGGTGTGCGTCAGACTGGCCTCTTGCAGGGGTGCAGGAGGAGTAGGCTGTAAAAGACAGATTTATAAAAGAAATCTAAAAATCTGCACTTCCATTGAAAAACACAACTATTTGTCAGAACCATAAAAAAACAATTAAGTAGATCTGGGTATCTATTTATCATCAACATGTCACCACTGACCAAACAGGCAAAAAGCCCCCCTAATGTGGCTTAGCAACAATAAAGGGTAAGATTGTCTTTAAGCCCAACAGATTTATTGTTGTGCAGATATTATCAGCCGATATGAGCTAATTGCAAATAAATCAGTATCGGTGTTTGTAACAGTATCTATGACTATTAAAAAAGAAATGGGGAGTCGAATCCTTCACTCAGGTCACTATTGTTAGCATAGTTTGCCCATGAGAGGGCACTCTGCTGCTCCTCTGTTAAAAAGACTGTGGCAACACTAAACAAAACTATCAGCTGACCGAAGTCTACCAGAGCATGCAGAAACAGGAACGGGCGTTACCAGTGAGTTGGTCATTTGTCACATTCATGACTTGCTAACCCGCCTGTTTTTCATTGCCCTCTCCTGGCTTCCTCCCGGGTCACAGCAGTATGTTTAATTTTACAGTAGGTGAGTGGTGGAGGCTACGCTGTCGACAAAGTTGATTGTAGATTTATTTCTGAAACAGTGGGGCAGTTCTAGTGAACTGTCCTCTCAGTTCTCACTAGTTCATCACTTCTAAATATTTTCTAACATCACTTATAGTAGCTAGCCTAAAGCTGCCCATTGCTAAATTAGATTTCCCAGAAAGCTAGCTAATGCCATGTTTATCAGCAGAAGGGCGCTAACATTAATGAGTGGTTAAACTATAGTGTTTAATGTATTCTAAATATATCTGCATGCAGCTTGTCTGTTGTTAGTTACTGTAGTTATTACTGTGAAATCTGAGTTGCAGTTACTCCTTGTAGACAGTCATGTAGTATTAGATGCATTCAAGGGGAG